CATCGCGCCACTCGGCCGGCCCATGACTAGTGCTTTTAAAATAGGGTATATTGTAATTATTATTTTTTCTACTGCTTCTTTTGTTTTCCCTGATGCTATTGTTTCTATACATTTTCTTCCCTCTGGACTGATTATTATTGCCAACTATAGAAGCAAATTGTTATTGTTAAAATAAACAATAACTAAAAATGAGAAGACCTTTGGAATGCAGAGTTCTATGCCACTCATTTGAAAGGACGTTGATAATCCAGAGAATGTCCAGAGGAGAGTGACCAGAGTGGAGAAGGGAGACATGTCACATGAGGAACTGGCGAATCTGCAAAGATCACTTCTGAAGAAGCAAGGACTCAAGGGAGCTTAGGGTGCCATCTTCAAAAACCTGAGAGGCTGTCATGTGGAAGGAGAAATGGTTTCTTGGCAATGAAATGTTATGTAAAGTCAAAGAGCTCTACCCTTCCTGAACTCTGTGACCTTGAGCAAGATACTTAAACCACTCTGGGGCTCAGTTCCTGGATCCTTCAAAAGGGAACAATGCTGATTGTTCAGATTGTTCTAGAGAAAAGAGGTGTCATAAGCACCTGGTACATGGTAGGCACTTAAATATTTGTAGTTATTATTATTTATATTTATTTTATATTTTTCCAGAGGAGAGAATGAAGATCAAAGAATGAAAATTCCAGAGAAGCAGAGTCTGGCTACATACATATAACAAACAGTTAGTGTTTTTCAAAGTGAAGTAGATTGCCTACAACATTAATATGTCTTTTACCCCTCAGTGTGTTGAAATGAAGAAGTCTACCTGCCATGAATATCTTAGGAGTATTTTGGTGAATTTGGCAGAAGTTGAACGAGATGATCTTTATTATGAAGTCCTTACTAAGATTCTAACACTTCCCACCTACTTACAAAGGAAAACCTTTTACTTCCCTCCCTTCCAAAAGACTATAAGGCACTTAACAGAGAAACAAATGCCAAAAGAAATTTAAAAGAACACAAAAATGGGAGTTCTTCATTCTTAACAATAAAATAGAGACATCTGAGGGGAAATTAAAAATCCTTCCAGAAGATTCCTACTTCCATGCGGGAGCCTGAGTCCTCTCCAGTAGGACTGTGAGCTTTAACAGGGATTTAGGAAGTGTAAGTGAACCATGCCTTCGATTTCCAGAGCACCGTTCTTGTACCAAACTGGTTCTGGTAGGTACTCTCACTTGGTCAGTCATGTGCAGTAGAAAGAAGCAGAAGATGATATTCCCATACTATAGTGGATACAGTGAGATACAGATTAAGGCCCTCACTGCATTAGGGTGACTGAACCAGATGGAACCAGTTTGTGGGAGGGACAAATTCAAAGCTGTGCTGCTTGCACTGGTCTCCTGGGATCTATTTAAATCATTGTAAATAAACACAACCCAACACAACCATGTTCTTGCCCATTTTGCTTATACCAGGGAGGTCTGACGCATGGGACCTCTTCAAAGTCTCACTGTAACTAAATTAGTTCATTTAAATTTGTAACCATTTACATAATTCCATGTGTGGGACTATATTGTCCTTTGAACTTTTGTAGAAGGATGAAATGGAATTGGGCAAAGTGAAATATGAACCGATTTAACATTTTAACAGGACTTTGAATACAAATACATAAGGTAAGTCTTTAGGTCCTCTCAACAAGCAAAATGAACTAGAGAAAAAAATGTAAAAGAGAGATATTCTTTTGGATAGTTTCATTAGAACACCTAAATGCATGTGGGGAAAGTGAAACTGTTTTCCGATCTCTGAGTAAGAGTTATACTGTTGTGGCTTCTTTTGTAGTTTAAAACTTCAAAAACAGACCCTTGAGTTTAGAATGCTATGTAATAATTTTCCAGTTAAGATTTCTAGTTAGAACATTTTGCACAATTTTCAGTAGAGGGTAGTCAAGATAAAGAAGGTCCTGCAAGAAAAATTAAGCTTTTTCTTCACTAATCAGTGGAGAATGTATGTGAAAAAGCTGAACAACGCAAAGGTTTGTGCAAACTTTGTGTTGTGACTTAGAACTTTTATTTGAAGATTTTAATGAAAAGGTTAGACATTTGCAAAGACAACTACAGTGTTAATAAAATATTCAATTTGACACCCTTAAACAAAAGGGTATAGATGTTTGCAAAACACTTCCTTTGCATTTACATTTGGTTTTTCCGCAAATTTTAAACTGCAATCAAGACCCAAAAGACTTGCATCAGGAGGTTGTGGAACAAGGAGGGAGGGCTTTAGAGCAGGAGCACTTTGGCAGGGCGCCCACTTTATTTACAAATCTCAGCCCCACTGCCCTTCAGCTGTGTGGCTTTGGGCAAGTCCCTCAAACTTGCTGACTTTCAGTTTGGTCCTTTGTGAAACAAGGCTGATGGGACATCATCAGTCTGCAGGGCTGTTGCCATGTCTACAAGGCTCTGTGCAGTGCCCAGAGCACAGTAAGTGCTGAGTGAATGGTAGTTGCTCTTGCAGTCATCAAACCCATGTCCCCGTGATGCTTGGGGTAATGGGTCTCCCAACCTCTTCCTCGAACCTCACAGATCAAGCCCCAAAAGTTGACTTGAGCAGACTGGAATTGAGAGAATTAAGCCTTTATTGTTTTTTTGTTTGTTTGTTTTTAAATAATGCTGGTCCTTATGCAACTATGGTTCCCCCCCATTTTCTGCGTTAGTTTCACACTTGGGGATACACTCCCCAAACTTCCCTCACTCTTTAATGAACCAGAAAACTGATTCTTTCTGAGGGTTCAGTGGTGGCCCCTCTGATGGCTCTGACTTAAATCAAATTGGACTGATATCAAATTAAAAAGTGCAGGGAATAAAGAAAAGAAAAATGTACGAACTCCTGCTCTTTCCAGCTTATTACGTACTTGGTTTGCTCCATCACCTTCTATGCACACATTTTTGGCTGTTCATGTAATGGGGTTCTTATAAAACTGAAAAGTGAGGCAAATCATAAAAGCAGAAAATCCAAAGCTAAGCTTGCGAGAGCGCAGGCAAGCTCATGTTTAATGTAGTCATGTTTAATGTAGTGTGGCATAAAATTTATAACCAGGGCTAACAGAGGTGCAGTATATTATATTAATATACACGAAAGAAAAACTGCAAAGCACTCCACATGTAGGTGGGAAAGAGTTACAGCTGGCTGCCTTTTGAGTGGTTTCATTTTTAACTGTGATGGGGCAGGCATGTGCATCTTTTCCATCACAGCTTCCTTTTGGTCTGACCACGGCAGTAGAACCTAATGCAGACCTCCAATGTGTCTCACAACTGGGGAGGATAGTGTCTTCCAACAGCGATGTGTTTCACTAGACCTGCATTTTAGGGGGATTAACATTCACCTGCATAGGTTATCTCCTTTAATCGTCATAACAATCTTATAACAGCAATGGTATTTATTACTCCCTGTTTCAGAAAGGAGAAAACTGAGGCTCAGAGCTGTAAAATTAAAGCATGGTTTAACCCAGGTCTGATTCCAAAGGTCATGTCAGACCCTTCGCATCCTATCATGTCTGCTTCCTACTTTCAGGGATCTGTTTATTGCTTATGAAAAAAAAAAGTCAGGTGAAAATTTAATGGCATTCTGGTGACGAATTGTTTTTGTTCCATAAATAAAATTTTGCACCGTAGCAAACTGGTTCAGACTTAAAATAGGTAGTGAGACAAGCTGAAGGATGAGGCTCCTTTGTTCCCTGGCTCTCAGTGGGGAGGCAAAAGTCTGCCTTCATCTCCATTCTCATTACCCCAAACCTCTTATCAGTAGTGCCACAGTTCATAATAATTAATTGTCATGCCAGAGGCATTGTGACATGCTTGATGGAGTCATGGTGTGCTATGTACACAGCGTAATTAGCAATCATTAGTGGTGGGGACAGAAAGTTCCTAGTGGTGTTATTCAAATTTTCATTTGGTTAAGTTTATCTCTGTGTTTTTTGTGCATAAATGTGATTTAGCAAATCAGGTTTTAGCTTAACTGCTTTATGAAGGACTGGGGTGGAAGTGCTGGGAAGAGAATGGTGTTCTTTTGTCTGGATGTAATGACTTCTCTTCTAATACTTTGCATATATAGTTCCTGACCATTAGGTAGCATCGTTAACTTTAAATACAGATAATATTAAATATTGCTAAATTGAATTACAAATACAAAATGTCAGGAGTCTGCCATAGGAGACCCGGGCATGGTGCCCAGAACTGGGAACTCAGAATTAGTAGTAAAAATTCTGCCTCTTTTCAGCTGTGCTGCCCAACAGAAAAATCACTGAACCTCTGAGTCAGTTTTCCATGCTTTGCAAATTTTGTATCTGCCATCATCCTCTGCAATAAAATTGACTGAAATAACCTTGGCTTAGAGAAGCCAAAGAATAAATAAATTTTGTAAATGGAGAAAGACAAGAACAAAGCAATCAAGCTTTTGAGATCTTTCTTAAAGGAAAAAAGAAGGCAGGCAGTTGAAAGAGCATACAACTGGCTAAAAATAGGCCTCTATGCCTTGGTCAATGTATACGACCATATGGTTAAGCACAATAAAACTAATTTCCATACTCCAGAGAGCTGATATAAATAACATACATTTAAAACTTAAAAAATAAATAACTGTGGGTGTCTTGCAAAACACCTTGATCTCTGTCTTTCCCAGTCAGGGCCCTCCAGGGCTTGGGTCCTTATAAAAAGTGCTCCTCAGCTTGTTGGCAGGCAAACTACATCACTGATAGATAACACTGCCCAACCCACTTGAAGAGGGAGAGAAAAATACCTTTGCTCTCTTCCGTGCAGAAGCTGGTTTGCCTGGCTATGAAGTCAAATGATGTACAGGCATGTTGGGGAGACTGAGTCTTAGAGCTCAAATCCATAAAGAGGAAAGTTTCCATGGCAGTAAATCACCTTCCAGGAGGAGATGTTGTCACTACTAACCTACAGCCAGGGAGGAAAGCTCCAACCTCCCTACCTACCCCTTTCCCGAACACCCAACCTCTTGTATTCCTACATATGATTAGGTTTTAATTCAACTGGGGCCTGACAAATCCCCTAGGAAGGTCAAAGACATAAGAATAAATCAGGTTCCATGAAGTTAAAAGTAACAGTGGGAGGGTGAGAATCTGTGTTCTGTTGGGGTTCCTCTGGTGAAGGCATAGATGGAAGGGTGGACCACAGCAGCAGTGAGGCCCTTGCTTGCTACAGGACAGAGGGCAAGTGGGCAGCCTACCTGCAGGAGGATGCCCCCCTTTTAGCGGGGAGGGTAGGACTTGCACCTCACTTGCCATCGCGTGCGTGCCAGTGCCGGTGCTGGTGCTGGTGCTCTGGAGGCTGAGTGCCAGCTGTGGCTGCCCCACTGCACCCTGGTTTTATACAAGCTGGGGGCGGGGCCCCTTCAGGGCTTTGCTGAGCAGCAACAGGGCTTGTCACCTAGCTCTCTGGGAACCTGCATCTCCTTGGCAAGTTTTCTGTCAGAAGAAAACTTTCTTCTCCTCCCCTCCATCTGAGAAGTCAAGGTAGATGGCTAAGGGAACTCTTAGTTTCTTTCCCAGGAGGAAGGGGAGAGGACGAAGTGCAGTGGGATTCTTTTTCTCTCCAACTATTCATCCATCAAGTACATGTGCTGAACCTACCACCTGACAGGCTCTTTGTCATATGCTGGCATGACAAGGAGGGGAAGACTAGATCTTTGCTTCCAGACATCTGTAATCTTTCAAAAGAGATTACAAAACAAAGGGCTGTGCTTTTGTCTCAGTCTCTACAATTGTAAGCACTTATACTAACAAAATAACTGGAGATGTGCACAGATATATCTGCATAAGGATGGTGATCATGTATTTCTTTTTCTTTTTCTTTTTCAGTATTCATTGGAATCAACAGAAACATCCCCAAATAGAGAGGGATAATTCAATAAATTAAAAGATAGCCATGAGAGCACTATGTACACATTTACAAATCATGCTTTAAAATAATATTTAAAAATGTGAAAAAATATTCATGCTAAGATAATAAAAAGGCAGGCTAGAAACCAATAGATGGCAATTTTGTTAAAAAGATAAAGTACAATTTTAAGCTTAGGCATTACTGTATCTCCTGTGCTAATGAAAATTTAGCATTTGACAGGCGCTCAGAAATATCTCCTTGTTCTTCAATATAAATTAAAAACTTCTGCTCTTCAAAAAAAATTGTTAAAAAAATGAAGACCAGCTGCAAACTGGGATAAAATATTTATAGAACACAGTTCTGATAAACACTGGCATCTAGACTATATAAAGAATTCTTACAACTCAATAACAACTCAATCAAAAAATGAGCAAAAGAGTCAAACAAAAACTAGAGATGTTGACAACAAATAAGCACATAAAAAGATGCTTTGCATCATTAATCAATATAAAAATGCAAATTAAAGATAATGAAATACATTACATATGCATTAGAATGGCTCAACCAAAAAAAATAAAAAGGGGCCAGCCGAGTGGCGCGTTGGTTGGGAACTGGCTTGGGACGCCAGAGGGCCCCGGTTCGGATCCCCCATATGAGGGCCAGTGACACCGCCCTCCACAGCTAAGATGCTGAACAACAGCTCAACCTGGAGCTGGGCTGCTGTGAGTCGCCGGTGACAGCGTAGGCTGCAGCCCCTGTGGCAGTGGGTTGCCATGGGCTACAGTGTGTAGCCAGCAGCCAGCGTGCGTGGCCAGCAACCGCAGTGAGCGGCCGTCCAGAAACCGGCGACTGATGTGCCTCGCCCGGAAAGAGCGCAATAATGGTGCCAACTTGGGCCAGTGAAGCAACGTCCTCCACAACTAGACTGAAGAACAAAAAATGACAGCAACATGTCTGTTTCCCTTCCTCCAATTCCCCAGCACTGTTCCCATCCCCCCAATTCCCCAACTAAAAAAAAAAAAATCAAAAAAAAAAAAAGATAAAAAGGAAAATACAACATGTTGGTGAAGATGCAGAGCAACTGGAACTCTCATGCATGGTTGGTGGGAATGCAAATTGGTAAAGTTATTTCGGAAGTCAGTTTGTCAGTTTCTTATAAAATTTAACATACACTTACTACATGACTAACAGTCCAAGTACTAGGAATTTTCTCAAGAGAAATGAAAACATAAAAACCTGTATACAAAGATTTATAACAGTTCTATTCATAGTTGCCAAGATTTAGAAATGACCCAAAAGTCCATCAACTATAGAACGGATAAACAGATTGTGGTATACCATACAATAGAATAGTAATCAGCAATAAAAAGGAATGAAAAGATACATACTATAGAGGTGAATCTCAAAAGCATTATGTTAAATGAAAGAAATGAGACTAAATGGGCCGGCTGAGTGGCGCATTGGTTAGTTGTTGGCTTGGGACGCCAGCTCTGAGCAGCCTGTTTCGGATCCCACATATGAAGGCCAGTGACGCTGCACCCTCTACAGCTAAGATGGTGAACAACAGCTTGACCTGGAGCTGGGCTGCCGTGAGTCACCAGCGGTGGCGTAGGCTGCAGTGGGGCTGGTCGGCAGCTGGTGTGAGCTGCCATGAGTGGCTGTCCAATGGCCGGTGAGCCGACTGTCTCACCTGGGAAGAGCGCAATGATAATACCAACATGGGCCAGTGAAGCAACACCCTCTGCAACTAGACTGAAGAACAAAAGGACAGCAACTTGTCTGTTTTCCTCCCCCGATTCCCCAATAAAATTAGAAAAAAAAATGAGACTAAAAATCCTATTTACTGTATAATTTCATTTATATGGCACTCTTGAAAAGTCAAAACTACAGAAACAGATATCAGATCAGTGGTTGCCAGAGGAGGGAGTGGGGAGAGTGGTTTGACCATAAAGAAGCAGGAAGAGACTTTTTGGGGCTGATAGAAGTGTTCTGTATCTTGATTGTGGTTGTGATTACATTCATCATTCATTATATACACACCATATAAAAATGGTGAATTTTACAGTATGCAAATTATACCTCAGTATATATACCTTATATTATACCTCACTTGTACAATAAAATTATCTACTTGCTAAATAAATGAATGAAAATATTCCAAAATATTAAGGGTGGCTGTCTACAGGTAGGAGTATTACCTGTTGATTTTTATTATCTTCTCTCAGTTTTTATATTATTTTTAAATCAATAAAAACCAATAAGCTACCCAAAACAAAGGCAACAAAAGCAGAAATAAACAAATGGGACTACATCAAATTAAAAAGCTTCTCCACAGTAAAGAAAACCATTAACAAAATGAAAGGGCAGCCTATCAAATGAGAGAAAATATTTACAAATCAAAAGTTGATATCCAAAATATATAATGAACTCATACAACTCAATAGCAAAAAACGAACAATCTGATTAAATTTGGCAAGGGATCTGAATAGACATTTTCCCAAAGAATACATACAGATGGTCAACAGGCACATGAAAAGGTATTCAGCATCACAAATCATCAGGGAAATGAAAATCAAAACCACAATATTACCTCACACCTGTTGGACTGGCTATTGTCAAAAAGACAAGAAATAATGTGTTGGCGAGGGTGTGGAGAAAAGGAAACCCTGTGCACTGTTGGTGAGAATACAAATTGATACAGCTACTATAGTAAACAGTATGGAGGTTACTCAAAAAGTTAAAAAGAGAACTACCATATGATCCAGCAATACCATGCCTGGGTATTTCTCCAAAGGAAACAAAAACACTAGTGGGAAAAGATATATGCACCTACCCCATGTTCAATGCAACATTTCTAACAATAGCCACAATTTGGAAGCAGCTTAAGTGTACATCAATGGGTGAATGAATAAAGCAATTGTGATAGATATACACAATGGAATATTACTTAGCCATAAAAAAGAAATATTGTCATTTGTGACAACATGGATGGACATGGAGGACATCATGCTAAGTGAAATAAGTCAGACAGAGAGAGACAAGTACCATATAATCTCATTTATTTGTGGAATCTTAAATAATTCAAGTCATAGGGTAGCCAGAGACAGGAGTGAAGAGGGATGGGCAAAATGGGTGAAGGAGATCAAAAGGTACAAACTTCCAGTTTATAAAATAAATAAGTCATGGAGATGCAATATACAGCATGGTGATTGTAGTTAATAATACTATATCATATATTTGAAAGTTACTAAAAAAGTAGATCATAAAAGTTCTCATCAAAAGAAAAAATATTTTGTAGTTATGTATGGTGATGAATGTGAAGACTTATTATGATGATCACTTTGCAATATACACAAATATCTAATCATGTTGTATACCTAAAACTAATATCATGTTATATGCCAATTATATAACAATTAAAAAAAAACAATACATTTTTTTTGGGGAAAAGTATGCTAAAGTGTTGCGACCGAGGTAGGTAGATGCTCTGGGAGCAAAGAGAAGTGATCATTCATATCATTTGGCAAATATTTTGTGAATTGCTTTCTCTGCAGAACCCTGGACTGAGCTGTGGTTCCGAGGAGATAAAACCCCATACCCGTTTTTAGCAAGTGGCAGTCTCATAGGGGATGTACAAGACGAGATGAGAAGGCTAAGAGGACTTCTTCTATGGTTGATAAGGTTTATAGCAATGGTGTTCAATAGATATTTCTGGGAAGATGAAATGTTGTGCATATGCTGTCACCAATACAGTAGCCACAAGCTACATGTGCGCTGAGCACTTGAAATGTGGATGGTGCAACTGAGGAACTGAGTTTTTAATTAATTTAAATATAAACAGCTATGTATGCTTTGTGGCTACTATATTGGATGGCATGTGTCTGTAGCATAAAAACAGTTGTGTGATTGTTTTTTGCCCAGCTCTCATTGATTATTTGCATGTTGCAGAAGGCAAGGAAGACATCAAAGGACAACCACCCCTCAGGAGAATAAGGAAGGGTATAAATATTTAGAATACACAGGGCATCCCCCCTTTATTCTACTCATCCCAACCCTATGTATTTAACATGAGCTTCGTAGACGAATAGGTAGCATGTTCGCTTTTGTTTTTCTATTTGTCCCCCAATGGAAAATGTAGACCTACAAGTTAATGACAGGAGTATAAATGGGGATATAGTAAAAGAGCGGCATAGCTAACAAAGAGACAAACAACCTTTTAACTGTAGATACATCAGTAGAGAAGGGGGAAAAGGGAAAATGAGGCCAATGTGTTTTGCCTTCTGGTGGCCTCTTCTAGCACTTTCTTCCCCACTCTGCCACCATCTCTGCTTCCACAGGAATACGAGGTCCAGGGTCTCCAGTTTGACCTCTTTGGTGCATGCGTACAACCACAGGGCATCTCCTCAGGGTGGTGGGTTCTTCATTCCTATCTTACGCCAGTTATTAAAGCCCAGGCC